AGGACTGTGGATCCATTTTGAGGTCATGATCATCAAAGGAAATCGCTTCTTCGCAGATAATGAGCTAGATATCGGAAGGGGTGGTACTCCGATGTGCTAACGGCAGGGTTATACGGTGCGATAGTTGGGCGCGCATTGTCATGCGAGGAGAAAAGTTTCTCCCTCATCCCTCTCATTTCAACTTCCTCTAGAATCAGCTGTTCACAGCACATCAAAGCTTTGATAGTAGAACCGTTCGGCAACAGTTCTCAATGGACGACTCTCTTGACTGCTCGTCAGCAATCCAACCTAATCTTGAAGGCATTGAGACTGTTTTCCCTCCCGGTTCAAGCTAATTTCGCTGGCGCGAATAGTTGACTCAAAGGCATGAGGGAGGTAATTTGGTACTCGGTTAGAATGGTAGCAGGGGTGCTATGAGGGAAAACGACGAAAAAACGAAGTGAAACGTTCGTTGCAAAAATGCCTCTGTTCTACGAGACTCAGAAAGCAGTTTCGGACGAGTTTCCTGCTGGCGTCGTGCCAATGACCGTTACGGTATATGTGCGGTGACTGCATGTTTGCATCCATATAACCATGCAGCTACGCAGCCGGTTCATATCAACCCCTTCACTTCATATTGTACTTCGCAAATGAAGGGTATTATCATTATCAGGTACGGTCGTCCATTTATGGGCGGGAAGGTGCGGTGGGCGTCCGGTGTTTTTTCTTGTTGTTGCAGCTAGATAGGTGCTATAAGGGTACTTGCCATGGAAAAAGCGCCAAGCAGCGCTTGCTCTGGAGCGCCGAATTCTGTCCTGCTCTGCGTATCAATCCAATGTCTTGAGGATTTATCATGCTCCTTGCTTTTGGAAGAACTCATATCTTGTCTGGAATTGTTCTGAAATCCGCTGCAGTACCTGACGCAATGCAACCACCTCTGGGCTGGTCACGTACTCCGCCGCAACGATAACAGATGGACTCTCCGCGTCACAGCAATGGCTGCCCGATGAGAACGCAAAACGCCTGCCGGGACCGAACCGCGCAACACGTTGGTCCGCGAATCGATTTTCAAAAAATGTCTCAGAAAACGGCGGTCCCAGTGCCACAGTTTGGAATAGCAAATCGCACAGGTAAGCCAGTGCGCTATGGATAGAGCAGCCTCGTCCCACTGAAGATTCGCAACCAGCTGAAACGGGGCTCATCAAGGTATCAGAGTGAGGTATGTCTTGTCTACTGTTTAGCAAAGAGTATATGCCATTCCGGATACATAAATAATAGACAAGGAGAGGGCGGCAGCGGATATCAGTTTCACAATATGAGAGCAGAAGCGTGAGACTAGAAGGTAAGAAACACCGCTAATAGGCACCTCAGAGGACGACTGTTTGATTGTGAAGTAACTTGAGTGCATACACTGTTCTAGATTCCGTGGCCGTTGAACTAGACAGGTCAGCGTAAAATTAATTCCTTGAGTTCAATCCCAGAAATGTCCGGCAGGAAGTCATTGTGCAAAACCTTGATTAACGGCCTAGACATCTCTTGTTACGACTAAATGTGAGACCTTCATCCATACTAAGGACAGAAGGAAAATATAGGCTTTCCTGACGGATGAGTCCATTGAGGTGGAAGAAAAGAGGGCTTGCGCAGTTTACCCTGTGAGACGGATCCTCACACAAGGTCATACGTTCAGGAAAGGTCATGTACTTTCAACTGTTCGCGGATGTAGGGAGCTCATAAAAAGGTTTACTCATCCTCAAAACCAACTCCCAAGTGGGGTCTGCTGCAGAGAACTTGAGGCTTATTTCTAATTCCCTACGTTTTTTCTCAGAGAATCCTTCAGCCATCAAAAGTTTATTCGCTAGATTGTCCACTAACTCCCTTCAGAACAGTATTGGGGGAGGGGGAGGCAATGGCCAAAACTATCTTGCTTGCCTTCCACTCAAGTTGTTCATGATACATTCCCGAGGTCCAGAAAGTGAGTGAAAGAAAACAGGAACCGCTTGGAGGTCGCGACCGCTCCGACCTCTAAGAGGCGCCCATACTTGTTTTTCTTGTAAAGCTTCCAGACGTCGAGTCGGCAAAATGCTTTCAGGCTTTTACCCGAACCATCAAGCCAAAGCCGGTCTCCTGCATTCATTAGCATATGTACACGCAGCGGGAGACCGAACGTATATTCCATGAGTGAGGATTGGAAAGAATGGGAGAGATTGTTAGGACATGAAACAGACACCGGCTCACCTCGGCACCTTGCGTCCAGCCAATATTGCTGTAGATGAAATTTGCATAGGTACCGTTGTCTGTGATGAAAAGAGCAGCTTGGAAGGTGTTTGTATTCTGAAAAGTACATTTTTCCAAACTAAATGGAACCTCAAAAAAAGTGCCAAATTCGAATCCTCCTTTTGACCGACATCTTCAGGCAGAGCAGCCGTCCCTTCAAGTGGTTGCATTTTCTCCCAAGTGACAACCACTGCTGATTTCACGACAACAGACCGGTCGTACTGGTACCGGATCTCGCTCTGGCCCCGCTCCAACACTCGCCCCTCTGAAAAGACTTGTTTGAGACTCGCTAGTAGTTCGTAACTACATGGATCTAAAGTGACACTCACTTGTAACCTCTCGGTAGTAGACATGGCCACCTTTCCGTAAGTCGTTTCTGTTCCAGAATGGCGCAATTAGTTTCGCTCCACTCGGGAATAGACCAGCTTTGTATGCGCGAGCATTCGCTTCGAATCCGATTGCACCATTTGAGAGCACCTAAAGGTACCAAAGATGGCTTGGGCATGTTATCATTGAAATGTCAGAGCCTTACATAGAGCGTACTGTAGTCTTCCCCATAAAAATTCAGTGGATTCGTCAGCTGGACCTTCTTGCCGACGTCAAGTGCCTGGGGCACTTCATTATCGTCGGCATCTTTACCGAATTCGAAGAGCCGTGAAGAGAACAACGGTGCAGTCACCTGGAAAGCAAAGTTGTTTCGAGGACTAGAAGCCCGAAAGAAAAAATGTTCAAGAGAAATTCCCCAAACAGGGTTATCTGGAACTCTAAATTGGTTTTATTCGGCGCTTTGGCTCGGTGGGGGCATTTTGCACTTTCACTGGTTCCTTCTGTTAGTACATCTTAACTGACAAGTCTCATATTGGTCAGACCTGTGAACTTTTGTGAAGCTGCAAAATTGCGCGTGCGAGCCAATTGGTTCACAGGATTTTACAGGGCTTCAGGACATGGCCTGTACTAGCTTCGCTGAGTACCACCTGGTGTCCCCACCAAACCAAACTGCGCATATCCTTCAATTCGGACAGGAGAACACATTCTACATTTTACAATACCCTACGAATTTTGTAATTCTATACTTTCTTATTTAT